GAGACTAGAATACCATAAGAACCACTGTGATCACCAGATAAAGACAAGTGACTGCTCTTCCCCCATTCCCAAAGTACTTGAAGAATACTAAAAATCGCTAACAATAGCAACCACTACGGTCATGACCTATATTGAGAATTGCTGGCCCACTACATAATTAGAGTTGTGGAGAAACTCCAGAGTTACATCTAAGTCAGAGCTGAAGATAAAGAGTTCAAAAATAAAACTTGCTTACTATAACTCTATAAATTAGAACTGTTTTAATGTAGAAAAGATAATTTTCAGAGTAATCTTGTACAAGAATATGAAAAATTAATAGAAACAGATTTATTTCCTATCCCCATTAAAGAAAAAATAAATTTTAATGTTAGGAGGGTTTTAGCTATACCATCAACCCTGTCAAGACCAGAAAGATAAAAGCTGAGAAATTTAATAAATTAGGATTTCGATTAACAGCATTTAACACTCATTGAACTGCTATATAGTGGCTCCCATCTTCCCTTGCCATTTGAAAACATGAATGAGTGCTAATAAAAATCTGATGGAGGGCCAGCTGGTGGCCTGGTGGAGAAGGCAGCTGGACCTCACATGGCCTACTACACGCTGAAGTCCCAGACCCAGCAGCTTGAAAACCAAGTATGCTAGGTATGTGTGCATGCATGCCCAAAATCCTGAGAGGAAAATGGAAAAGAGATTGCAGCAAAGCCATCCCCCTGGAGGTTGCTTTCTTTCTTTCCTTTCCTTCTCTCTTTCTCTCTCTCCTTCCCTATAACCCCTACAGCAAGTACACACGCCCTATAGTAAATTACAAATATACTGGGTCATCGGAAAAGTCATGACACATTTTTGTGTAGAGAAACACAGATAAATACATCATGACTTTTTTGACAAATATATATATATATATACACACACACACACACACACACACACATATATATATTGGCCTAGTAGAAGGCTTTGTCTTACCCAAATCACAAAGTTAAATTGTAAATAAAAAACCTACAGGAAGGGTGAGAAAAATAGAGAATAGTCTTTCCTTGTTTTCCTAGAATCTTTAAATTAGAGATAGCTGCCTGTATAGGAAAGATTAGTGACCATGCCTGGTTTAGACAGTTTCTGTAGATTTCTTTCTGGCTCTCTTTATGCTATGATAAAGCCCTAAAATACCCACTGACACAATAAGCATGCTATTTTATAAAATATGCCCTAAAATTTTAGTGCAAATACTTTACATTCTATAATATCCACCAAGACACAACAATTTAGTTTAATGAAAAAAATATTTAAAACAACTCCAATGTTTCAAAACACATTATTCTACTCTAAAGTACTTGAAAATTCTATCAATATAAGGCGTTTTCTATTTTTAACTATCCTCAATTTTTTTTAAATTTAACAAAATTCATCATCATTATTATTTTAATTTTCTTATAGAGCATACACACTCAACAGAGAGAGAAAGAGAAAAAAAGTGAGACAGAAAGCCACCGGGTCTGAGACTCAAACCGCAGTTGGCCATGTGGGAGTCCATCGCCTTAACCACCACACCACCTGCTGCCCCCCAATTATTTTTAAATTAACTATTCGGGCCAGCCAGTGGCATGGTGTCTGAGGTGGCTGGCCTAAGGAGTGCTTTCTCATGTTCTCTTTCTCTGTGTCTCTTTGTCTCTCTGACAAGCACATGTGCCCTATAGCAAAATTTAAATAAATTAATGAATTTATTAATTTATTAATCACTCTTATTCTACCTCTAAAAGTCTTAATCACATGGAATCAACAAATTCCACTAAAACTTTTAAGGAAAAAAACGGAAGGAAATACAATGACAGTCTAAGACAGCCCCAGTAATTCTAAACTATAAGCAGCAGGAAAAAAATGACCAACATATAACAAATTATGTATATAAACAGTCACGCTAAGCAGATTTTAACCAATAAAGATATAGAAACGGATCTTAATATCAGTGTTTTCAGAAAGAGATACGCCAGTAATAGCTTTGTGCTGATACAAATAATTTGCAGATGCTAATAAATCTAATTTAACATAAATCCCTTTAAAATGTAAATCATGTACCATTTGAATGTGAATTACAAAATAAAATAATTCTCTTAGTAAATCAATATATTTTTCAAATACCCAAAAACTAAAAAAAAAAAAAGCTCTTCCTGTTTAACTTAACATCTATTTTCATCTATTTTTCAAAGTAAGATTCACCATGAACACATTTTAGATTGTATTTTACACCATCTTTAGCTAACCAAGTGAAAAATCCAATAATACACTTTTGTCAGTACATAAAACAGCAAGAGCCGGCAAGGTCAGGAAACAGAACACAAGTTCAATGAAACTGGTGTGGTATGAATTCAGAGGCACCCATTTGAACATAGTCAGAAAGAAGAAAGTGAGCTACAATACAGGTTTTCATTTTGAATTTGACTTCGAGAGAGTCTGTGTATTTTGACCTTAGAGTGGTAACTATGGACAAAGTTCATGCTCTCCTACCTCAAAAGGTCTAATGCAACAGAGATATGATCATTCTATGCTGCTGATAGTTTTCTACCGAGCCTTTTATATTGATGTTACTGATTTTGTTTATCAGTCCATGATGTAACTACACACTGGTGTAAAAAAAATTAAATACGAAATTTCTATACACATTAAACCCTCAAAATAATTTTTGCCTAGGAATGGATAATATAATGTTTAAAATTATACAAACAAACATCCAGTAAACAGCATTTTATTTTATGACACTCTGTGTTAATACAATAAATATACAAAACTTCCAAACCACTGAAAACATGCAACATTAGAGGGACAAATGGAGGGCATTTATACAGAACTGGGACAGTCACCATGATGGCAGCGCAACAGCACTCATTGACAAAATATACAAATATCCCTAGATAAATAATCCAAGTCCCAAATTACAAATCACTGAGCAATGATTTTCCAGTGTTCAAACTTTAGTGTGAAATAAAATACCCATGATTTAACAGACTGAAAAGTGACATGGTTGTCTATATATGGGAAGACCATTTCATGACTGTAGTACTGAGCAATTTTATTAAATACAAAATACTAACAAATGCTGACTTTTTGGAGTGAAATGTAACTATTTACTGATTATTGTTAAGAAAATAGTGAATGTAATAATTTAAAGCTCCTTTAATTCCTGATCAAACCATAAGCATTACCATCTAAAATTTTAATGTACACTTATGTTTTTAAAAACATAATTTTCTCTCTCAAACCTGTATTAACCCAGATAACCAGATTTTAAAACATTTTCCCCATCCACACAAAGATATAATAGGTTGTAGCTGTTCTTTGCTATTTAATAATGCTAGCTTCGGGGACTTCTACATGAAAAAGAGAAACATCAGAATTCTGAAGAAAAGTATCTCGATATTTTTCAAATCTCTGATACATCTTTTTAAAGAAAAACAAAAATGGACGTGGGATATAAACTGAGGGTGGATATAAGTACACTGTATTTTGTGGTCAATATTTTGAATGTTTGTGAAATCTACACTCAATAAAGTATACCGACAAAATAGATTTTCAATAACCTCTGGAAAACTTTAACTTAGTTGGTTGAGAATGTAGGTGGAGATTATCACTGGTTACAAATATTTATAAAAAACGACTTTTAAATTCATACTCTGAATCCGGTTTTCTTCAGAATAAAAAGAGTAACTTCCAAGAACATTTCCTCAATTAAGTAAAATAAATCAAACGTAAGCACCATTCGGATGCATCTGTGTTACTTGGTACCATGCGGAGCTTCTTCATTTTAAATAGTGAGAAGTTGGCATCCAACACCCAGCATGAAACTAACTTTAACTCCAGACTTGGGGAGGAGAATGGAAGTGATTTAACCATTTATGCCCAGTAGATTTACAAAAAAAAAAAAAGAAAGAAAGAAAATCTACGTCTCAGATAATATAATCCAATAGGCCATCCTTACTTAGTGAGGTTGAATAAATCACTACTGATCATACTATAATCTTAAATGAGCTAACAACTTCCAAACTATAGTAGCATGACTTACAAATATCTTTGAGTCATTTAATTAGTATTTAAAATGATTCAAAGATTCAACCCAAGTATGTAAGAATGAAGTTCTAAGCTGCATAGTAATAATTGTAATGATTATCTTCATAATTAATGCATTTTACTGTATATGTATTATCTTACTTGGTACAATTAAAAGTTTTATTTTTTTCTATTGCTGCAAATTTTAAATATGTTCAATCTGTCTCAAAAACTGAAGACTTAGATGTATCAGGGATTCAAGTATATGAGAAATGCCAGGGCCTTTTTATTTTGAATGACACTAGAGAAGCTAAAAGAACACTCCCTTAAATACTGTATGTTCTTTTTAGACAAAGAGTTAGGCTAGCCTTTTTAATGCCTCTGTTATATATCACCCTCCCCCCCCAAAAAAAGAGCTGCCAAACAGAATCTCAGTTCAATTAAAAAGAGTAGCCACAAGACTATACCAAAG